TCATTGCCAACTTTTGAATTGATGGTTTGCTATAACGAATACAGTGCAGTTGAGAAATTTCATTGTTTTAGTTTAATTTTTCTTGCTAATATATCTATAAAAATCTAAAACTTACTGCTATGTGCCTCACCTACTTACTATATATTTTTATACAACTTACTAACTGAATACCCACATACAAATACAAGGGAAAAGAATTTTATTTTTAGAGAATTTTTGAGTCGGTCAGTATTCCCAGTTTTAGATTAATCTTATGGCTTCTGAACTGTGTCTTGCAATCGCTTCCTATTGCTCCTATAACTAGTTGCTTATGCGTCGTTTCTTATCAATCATGGCATTCTAACAACATTCATTATCATTGAAGCATAAGAAAACCACTCAAATAGTATAATATAAAATCATGTATGGACAAGGGAAAAAACAATAAGCATGAAGGTTTAGTTGAATCAATAAAAAACAATTTTGATAGAGCTGCAATTTTTAAAAAAACCAATCCCTTTATCAACCGTATGAATAAATTATTTATAGTAAACGGACAGCCTGGTGATGTGGAATTGTTTGACTGAATTATACCACAAAAGTTTTATATGGTGAATACGGTTTTTTTGAAGAATAAATAGAATAGAAAAAGGGCTTGATTGCACTTCGACGACCCTGGAAAATTACAGTTTCCATATTACCAAACCTCTGAGTTTAAAAGACAAGTTTCACTTCTTGCTATGCAGATAAAAAATACTTAATTTGGTAGGTAAAAAAAGCTGTAATTAAACTTCAAGATTTCTTAAAATTGGCAGTCCCCGTTCAACGGTAAGTTGGGTTTCAGAGATGTTCAAAAATTCCAGCAAATTGATAGATCATTATTTATTTTCACAAATTACAGCCTATTAGAACATTTGCCCAATGATTATTTCTTTAAGTAATCTACGAAGAACGAAAATCAGACATCCTGCTCCGAAGTTGATGTGAGCTTGTAATGTCATCAGTAGCCATTATTATTTTGGCGTAATAGACTCCACATTACGGACACCCATTTTACCAGCTAATACTGCTAGATATCGTCAAATTCTGCCCATTGGTTTTCACGGTAATCTTCTCAGCTGAATTTACTCTCTGCACTAATCAAGTAATCATTCATTACCCACAATATGCTATTTTCACCTAGATTTTTGGGTGTACCCAGTGGTATTTTTTTCTTACTTCTTGTTGCCTTCTAATAATTTGAAAAGTTTCTTAGTATTGAATACAGCTGAATTCTATGCAGCAAATGTCTCAAAAAAACCAAGTAAAGAAAATATACAGAAAAAACACCGAGACTTAAATGTGTATAACAAAAGCAAAAAAATATTAAACGGTGCAATATTACTAATGTTTACGAAACTCCTCATCTTTTCGTTATAAACTATTGCAAAGGTTTGGAAGAATTAAGCCCAAAACATTACATCAAAAGATTTTGGTAGAACTGTTTTACCTACATTGTTCAGTTGAGGTTATGCATCAATCGCTGAAAATTGTTAGCAAAACTGAATTGGTCTATGAGCATGTAACGCTTAACACTGTATCAAAACATTTGAAAGTAATTAATTTTTGATATTTTCTCCGAGATTCATCCTTATTCACACTTTTTGTTTTGATTTTGTCTGTTTATTATGCCGAAAACTGCATTGTAATCTCACCGTAAAACGCAACGGACATCATATCATCTTTTTTTACACTGTTATTTTAAGTTAATGCTTTGTAGTTGAGAAGCCAAACAGGAAGTCCATCAGTTTAAGCCGAAGATTATTTTAGCAAGTTTTAGAGAATCTTAAATAAGAGAAAAGGGTAGGAATTATTCCATTCTTAGTTGAGAGCGTTTCTATGTAGTGCTAGATTAAACTCCAAAAACCCTGGTCAAAAAAAAATTATCAGGAAAAATGTAACTTCATCCAAATTTCATCATTACAATTTTAGCCTAGGTTGCTCAAATTGACTCAACTCACTGAATTGATTTATTCCGCCCTCAATGTACAGAATGGAGCAACATTTTTTTGTGCAAGACTTAATAACATGCGGTAACATGTTTTGACCCTCAAAAGAATAATTTTTTCAGGCAATCTAGAGTGCAATGATTTTTTAACTTATTTGAAGTGGTCATTCAAACTTGAGGCAGGATGGTTCCAGTAGTTTAAAATAGGAAGCCAAAGGTAGTAATCATGTAGTTATAAGCAATAGAAATAAAAGATTTGGGGATAGAAAAAAATATGAAACTGCAGCAGTAAATCATCACAAAACATAGAAGATTTCCTAAACCGGGAAGATTATTCGGTATTGTTGTAATCTAGCTATTCTATTATGAATATCCATTGTATATGTACACTTTTTCTTATGTTCGTTGCTTATTTAAAAACAACTTATACAACTCTTAATAACTAATGATTCTAAACACAGATAGGAGACAAAACCTCTCCTATTTATACACTCATGACGTCGGCTAATCTTTCCAGTTTTAGATTACTTGATGCCTTGTCATTACAAGGCTCTTTTCTAATGCCTTGTCTTTAATAAGCCTCTTTCTCTAATTTATTGATATTGACTTCGGCATCTTATCTCAACAGGTATAGATAGTATATGAATAAAGCTTGATGGTAAGCTGTACTGATTATGTGTATAAGAATTAAGCAACAAAATCAGATAATTAATGCCGTAATAAAATGGAAATACCATCTGTTGAGATAAGATGCCGAAGCCGATTATGATTTCGATATAAACAATGCCGAGAATGTTGAGATAAGCTATCTAGACAGATAGTAAAAGAGCCTTATAAAGACAACGCATCAAATGAATCTAAACTGGAACGATTAACCGACGTGATGAGTATACAGATACAAGAGCTTTGACCTTTAGAGGTATTAGTGCGTAAGTAAGTTATGCAAGTTATAATAAAAATAAGCAAAAAACATAATACAAGATATACTGGTTATGAATCATTTTGCTCTCACTTGTCCTCAAGGTGAGAGTATGAAACTTTATTCGTTGATCAATTATTCAAAGTGGTATAATAATACATACATGCTTGCTGCTGTTCAAGGTGCTGGCCTTGATGTCTTCTTCACATCAGGAGATATGATGTTATCTGAAGCTGAAACAGCGGACGACTCCTTGGTTCTGAATCTTTGATTAACTTTGAATAATGCTGTTCAAGCTGTGCTGATGAATTATGGTTCATCTAAAATCTTGATGAAGTACCAGTTTGAAGCTGTGTCCGGATATGAGTTGCTTCAGATGATAAAGACCGATTATTCCCAGATCACCTCTTATCAACTTCTTGGTATGTTCAATAAAGCTTTTGACGCTTCAGTGAGCAAGTCTTCTAATGAAAATACTACAACATTGCTCAGAGAGAGAAATCTGTGCTCACTTCAACAATTTGAAGGATAGTACGCAAATCATGGTTTTACTCCATCTACAGATGTTTAAGTTCGAGCAGCCATATGTGTTGAAGTCTGTTTATTCTTAACGTATTATTGCTGAGATAAGATGCCGAAGTCAATAAGTTGAAGTCTAGCTATTCTGTTTTGAATATCCATTGTATATGTTCACTTTTTCTTATTATTGTTGCTTGTTTATATATATAACTAATATAACTAACATACAGACTATTACTCTCAGTCATAAATACAGAGACAAACCTCTTGTATTTATACACTTACACCTTCGGTTAAACTTGCCATTATTCATTTATCATGGCGGCTAACTTTCCAGTTTTAGATTACTCAAGATGCCTTATCATGCATGATAAGACTCTTATCTCTTATCTCTCGATCCTTATTGGCCTCGGCATCTTATCTCAACACTGAGATACCTTATCATGATAAGATTCTTATCTCTTATCCCTCGATCATGATTGGCTTTGGCATCTTATCTCAACACTCGATTCTGTTGTAATCTAGCTATTCTATTATGAATATCCATTGTATAAGTTCACTTTTTCTTATGTTTGTTGCTTATTTATATATTTAACTAATATAACTAACATACAGACTATTACTCTCAGTCATAAATACAAGGGACAAACCTCTTGTATTTATACACTTACACCTTCGGTTAAACTTGCCATTATTCATTTATCATGGCGGCTAACTTTCCAGTTTTAGATTACTCAAGATGCCTTATCATGATAAGACTC